TGGTAGCACTGCCTTTGGGAATTTCCGAGCCCTTCAAAGTTTTGTGTAACCCCGACTGAATCAGCACGTCCTTCACTTGCACTTGCCACAAGCCAAAGTTGATTTTTCCGTTGAATTTCTCCACATCAAATCTCGCCAGATTCGATATCTTATTTCCAGACATCTTCGTGAATCAGTGAACACTAACTTCGCAGAAAACCGAGCAGCAACCTTTAATAGTACTGATCAGATAAATTCTCAGGGAGGGTAGCGACCTGCCCCCTAAAGAATTACCCTTCTAAGTAAGCTCCCAGGAAAGGCTGGTGGGGTCACAACGGTCCCACTTAAAAAACCAGTCTCCTAGACAGAACCTACTTACACAGTAATTATTCCCCACTGCCCAAAAAACTCCTTTGCACACAAGCTCCACCCGTCACTAGCTCCACCGCACGAAGAGACCTCTTTGGTATCTTTTCTGATGTGGAAGATCAGACAAAACTGCAACCACAGAGCGTACTCAGAATACCAACTAGGCTAACCTCGCTCTGATACCACTTGTTGGGAATTCCAACCACACCGAAACTCCGCCCAAGATCCTCTGAAAATAAAAAACTGGAGAACACAAAATTTAACGTGAAAAACCATCTGTTAACGAAGACGGAAAAACCACCCAGGCAACAAGGCCGTAGAAAATCCACTATGTAAAAAAAATTACACAATTTTTCTACCACTCACTTACCCAAAATTACACCACGGAATTTTCTACTCGTTAACCCTAACTCTCACCTTAAGGAATTTTACCCTAAGGAATTTTTTACCAGAGATTAATTGTTAACACAATAACTCTGTGGGATGATTTTACATAAGAAGTAGCACTTTCTTATATAGGAGAAAAATCTCCTTCTCTTTCATTCCACAATCGATGTGGGACAAAGAGCAAAACCCAACAAACTCGACTCCTTTTGTTAACAATTCGACTTGGCTCAATAAAGACATTAGTTAAATCATCAAAAGTTCAAGCTTGACTCCGCTCAACTCAGGCTCGCGAATCATTTTTATTCGAATCTTACGGTATCAAGATTTAATTGATTCTTCACTCCATGCCAACAATTATAACATGTTAAATATTTATTAGATGATTAGTAAATCATACTTTTTTTTTCTGATATGACTATATCCAGACAATAAAAACAAAAGAAAAGAAAAGAATAAACATATAAATTATATATAAAAATTATAAATACTTAAATTAGGTCAAATCATGAGAAAAATTTGTGGTGTTTGAACACGACATCAAGATAGATGTTTTACATTTTCAGAGTAATCATCAAAATCAAGTGCTAATGATTTATAACGCACGCGCTCGAGTTCGGACACTTTGGACGTGTGTTGACCAAAAATTCGAATTCAACTGTCTTTTGTTATGTCGATTATATATTCATAATGACTTACTGACCCACATGATTGAGGCAGGTCGGCAATAGACATGGCTAAAGGCCCCGGCCTGCCGCGGGCCTTGGTCCGTCACGAACCTGGTCCGGTTAAATCTGACCAGATCGAATTTCAAACAAGCTGTTTCAGAGTTATCAATTTCATGATCCGGTTTGGTGGGCCCGGGCCGGGTCGATGGCCCACTTTTTATATATATTTTTATTTTTTTCTATTGTTTTTTGTTTTTATAAAAATGACGAACCAGCCTGGGTACGAACTCGATTCGGTCAATTGGGCCATTGACCCGCCACGAGTATAGGTCCGTGCCGGATCTGGGTTAGTGTTTTGGAGCCCGATGGCCCGACGGTCTGTCAGGCTGGGCCGGGCCAGGCCGGGCCGCGATCCTGCCCGACTTTTGGCCATATCTAGTCGGCAATCGTCTTTTAAATGATTTGTATTCAATTTTTAAGTTTAAAATTTAATTTGAAATATAACGAGCAATGTATGTTGTGATATGTGGAAATTTACACACCACATTAAAAATGAAGAGTGAAGAAGATAAGTATATCCTGAACAGTTGGCTTATACTTTCAAACTAAATAAATAAATAAAATCTACACGAGTATACAAATTTTTTTCCAATAGCATATGCTTGTAAGGAGTTTACTAGGGGTTAATCTTAAGTCGAGTTCGAGCTCGAGACTTTTCTTAGCCGAGCCCTCAGTTCATAATTTAAACGGTTCAATGATTGAATTTGAGTTGAGCTTGTTTAGTCATTATTAACGAGAAGAGTACGAACTTTGACTAGTCGAATTTGAGTTTTAACAAACTGAACTTCAAACTCGAGAAGTTGGGTTCAGCTCAGCTCGTTAAGAGCTATTAAGGCTTAGTAACAAGTTGCGAGTTCGAACTCGTTTATTATATAATCAAAATTGAGTTAAGCTCACGAGTCGCTCGTTTCCTTTTTAACTGCTCTAATCGAGACTTAATAACAAATGCATATAACATTAAATTACATAAAATGGTAAACACAATAGTATTTGTATCAATTGGTCTACAAGACTACAACAAAAAATTTAAGAAATATTTAAAAGATCAGTAATGTTCCCTACCCACGGTGAGCACATGTTAATATGCTCACTGTTTATGTGGCATGCACACATTGGTGATGTTAATATATTCAAAAAAATATATTACCAATGTGGGCATGCACATAATCGGTGAACATATTAACATGTGTCCACGATAAATGAGCATTATTATTTAAACGATACCAACAAAAAAGATGAATAATGGCGGAAATAACTATCGCTAGTTTTTTTTTTTTTTTTTTTTTTTTTTTTTTTTTTTTTTTTTTTT